AGCTTACACTCCTACCCGATCCAATCCTAGCCAATTTGCATTGGTTTAGATTCTATTAGATTAACACTTTTAGTAATTAGTGACTCGCGGTAGTATACTCATGTGCTTTTTGCTTACTGGGTCAAATGAAGACTATTTTTTTTTAACGGTATTTCACTATTGCAAAAATTAAATACCGCATAAACGGAAAAATAGACGGAGTTAGGTTGTCTAAATTTTCAATCCAAGTGGCAAACAAATTGATGCATGCATTTATGCTTTTTGTAGGTGGCAAACAGGAACAAGACTTGCAAATTTTGATGAATTTGATTCCATCTTCCAAAATTAAATGAAATACTGTAACACATTTCTGCCACCGTCACCATCAAAATCCACCACCAAATACTACAAGTCTACAACACCATTGTCATCTGAGCTTCAAATTGAGCTTCATTTCTTCAAATGTCAGCATTCTCTATCTGACAACTGATCTCAACCTTAAAATTTCAGCTCTAATATTTGAACGCTCGAAAACTCGCCCACTCCCACTAGGCAAAGGCTTTATCACTCCCACCCCGCCTCTAAAGCCGCCTAGGCACACCTCGGGGATCATCTTTTAAAACACTGGTTTGTTTATAAAATAGTTTTACCATCACCACTGCTCTTTGTGCAATATTTCAATCATTACTTAAACGGTTATTATACAAAATGGTTCCTGAGATTTGCATTATCAATAGAAATAGTCTCTAAGATTTAAAATCAATAGAAATGGTCATTGTCCACCATTCATGATTTTGGTCATTCCGCTAAAAACGATTTTGGACAATTTTCAAAGTTTTGTAACTCAATCGTTTCTTAACCAAATTTGACCCATAATATATCAAAATGAAGATAGGAAAGTGTAGAATAAGATTATACTTATTTGGAAGCCCAATGGTTGTTGGAGATGGCCGGAAAATAGCCTGAAAGGTGACTGGTCCGCGGGAAAACTGGAAAACTCGCCGGAAACTGGGTAAACTTTAAACGTTCATAACTTTTTCAATACTCAACGAAATCGAGTGATTCAAAAACGAAAATAATACTTCTTGACAAGGCGAAGAGAATGGTACCTTTTTTGAAGGCTAACTCTCCATGGTTTGGTTGGACAACGGCTCAAAAATGGCTAACCATTTTCGAGTTAGCCACTTTCAAGCATTCCGGCCAAACCACAGCGAGTTAGCAATAAAGAAAGATATCATTCTCTTCATCTCATCGAGAAGTATGATTTTCGTTTTTGAATCACTCAATTTCGTTGAGTATTGAAAAAGTTATGAACGTTTAAAGTTTACTCAGTTTCCGGCGAGTTGTTTTCCCGCGGACCAGTCACCTTTCATACTACTTTCTGGCCATCTCCGGCACTCATTGGGCTTCCAAATATGTATAATCTTGTTCTACACTTTCTTATCTTCATTTTGATGTACTATGGGTCGAATTTAGTTAAGAATTGATTGAGTTACGAAACTTTGAAAATTGTCCAAAGAGTTTTTAATGGAAGGACCAAAATCATGGATGGTGGACAATCTCAGGAACCATTTTTATTGATTATGCAAATCTCATGGACTATTTTGTATAATAACCCTTACTTAAATTCAGCAATCAATGTTTGCATGCATACTACCAGACGATAAAACATCGACGTGGAAGCAGACGGATCCCGAGTTAATTTGGTAATGTATTTAGTAAAAACAAAGCACTGACACTTGCATAATCCATAAAAACATACGAATCATAGAAACCAGTGAACTATAATGCTAGTGACAAAAGCAAACCAAAATTTTCACTTGCTATGTTGCTTCCCTAGGTCATTCAGTAACTTTTCGAGGCCTTCCCCTCCCTCGATGCTTTTGTTGACATGGTCGGTTCTTCAAAGTCAATTTCATCCCTGATACAGTGCTTTTTGTACCCAACTTACTGGGTCTCCCTTGTTTTCGCTTTTTCTGGCTATGTTCCAGCTGCTTCTGAAATTTATCAGGCGGGGATTCATCGCCAGTTGGAGATGTAGCCAGTTTTTCTTTAGTACGCCTAACTAGTTTTCGCTTTTCTGGTTGTTCCATCTGTTTGTGACATTTATCAGGCAGGGATTCATCGCTGGTTTCAGCTGTAGCCAGTTTTTCTATACAACGCCTCGCTTGTTTTGGTTTTTTGTGTTGTTCCAGTTGCTTCTTACGTTTATCAGGCAGAGATGATTCATCGCCGGTTGCAGCTGTGGCCAGTTTTTCTTTACGAGGCCTCGCTCTTTCTTGCTTTTGCGGCTGCTGGTCAGCTGTTGGGAACAAAACCCTCATGGTTGAGTCTACAGTTTCCTTTGGCGTAGGAGGCTTCTGCTTTTGATGCTTCGGCTGCTGCAACTCATCATGATGCTCCTCTTGTGGTTGCTCACATTGGTGCTGTGAGGGTGATGATTCTGTCATGGATACAGCCGGATCAGATTGTGAAACAATTTGACTGTGGGAGCGTAGTTTCATATGGCGCAGCTGTTGCAGCTTTACTATAGTTGTGGAAAATTCTACCACTGATCTTGCCTTGAGCTGTGGAGTATGAGGTTCTTCCACGAGCTGCTGGGAAGTGAGAACTAACTCATCCGGAACTTTTGTTGTTGTTGGCTTGGACTTCAACTTCTTTGTTTTTTGATCCATAGGTTGAGATAAAGCATCAACAGCCGTTGGTCCTAGGTCTTGAAATGCTTCAGTGTTGGGAAGCTCTGTATTCTGGGAAAGGAGGATTGAACCAAGGGTATCTATTGTTGGCTCTGGTGTGCACCACTTATGCTGGGTAGAATGATTTTCATGTTGATTCTTCTGTTGACATAATTTTTTCCCTCCTGATTTTTGCATTCGAGATCTTCCACTGTTTGAAAGTGATATACACTCCTCATCCAGAGATTGTGAAGGTAGCAAAACTACCCTAGATCCAGTCGCAGCTTGTCCAGATTCGGACAGCATTTTGCTTCGAGGTCGCAGTTGCCTCTGCTGCTGTGTTTGGCCTGTTTTTTCTGCTGATGCCTTCAGCTCTTCAGTCTTTTCAGCTTCTTGAAGGTTTGGTGTGATTGACACTTCAGACGTGGACTGCCTCTGGTGCCGTGGACGCAACTGCCGCTGCTGTCCTGGCTCATCTGTATTTTTCTGTGGTTCAAATGACATCTTAACTGACAAATAATCAAGTTCCACGCCCATTTCCTGTATACATTCCCTAGGCTGCTGCTCATGCTCAAGTTCCTGGGTAATGCCAGAAATTGCTGTCACAAAAAATTTATTGATTGTCCCATGCATACACAATTACACATGCATGTAAAGAGTGTTATTTACTTATAAAACGATGTTTGTATTTGTAATTATCCATCAAAGATCCCATATAAAGCCTTTCCATGCATATTCAGATTTTCCATGTCCAATTACATGTACAATTACATGGTCGTTCTCCAATTCATGCCAAATTTAACAAGCTAGAAATTGTGAGGTTTCTAGTTGCTGCTACCTGACATACATTTTCCCCTTGTTGATCTGATGGTCTTTGATCCTGAAGCCCCAGCCCCCTAAACTTCTGTTGCTCCTCTGTCTGATGTTGTGCTCGATACGATTGCTCCGTCACATTTTCTGCCTGCTGCTCCTCTCCATCCTGAAAGAATGTATGAGACTAACATTAAAAGTTCCAGTCCAGGGATAACTTGTCGGTATCTTTCAAATTCTATTCAACTATTTTTGCTGCATGCATAACGACTAGGATGCATGTTGTACATGAGTTGATAAAAGATTCCATAATCACAATGTAGTGTACTGTTAACTTATATGTCCTAGTCTCCAAGAATGCAGTTCCAAGAGAAAATGTCATGGCTGATACCTGAAACTTAGGTGCCTTTGGCACTCCACAATCAGATTCAGATGGTTTTTTACACCGAGGAAGCAGTTGCCTTTGCTGACACCACTCCTGTGTTTCCCGTTGTTTTTCACACAATTGCTCAATTTTTGTTAATTCCATCTCAACAGCGTTTTCTTCAATCACATTTTCTGCTTTCTGCTCCTCATCCTGCATGAATGCATCAAATTGGATCGTAAATTGCTTGTACCATTTTATTTGTAAGTATGCTTATTTTTAACATTTGGCATTCAAAAAAGGAGGGGTTAAAAAGAAAAATTATCAATGTTGCTCTTTGGCCATCGTGTTGCTATTTCTGTTGTGCTGAAAAACCACGAACTATATATTTCCTCTTTCTACAAGAACTAGTAATTAACGGTGATCTTCCTCTATGTCTGTAATAGGTTTCCTAGTACTATGGGTTGACGACTCCCTTATACTAGACAGATCTTCTAACAACTTTTCCTCAACCTTACATGCCATTAACAATTCTCCAAAATTCCTTGTTGCTAAAAAATAAATAATAATACAAAAACACAACATTGCAGGCGCAAGTAAGTTGTATCAAGAGAAAATTATTGCATTATTTATATACACATTTCAACATTCTATTTCCGTTACAACAGAGTTTCAACTTTCAACATTTACCTCAGACAAATGTGATGAACAATGGTGGGGCAATTTTTGACTTGTAAGAGGGCTTGAATTGATCACAATAGCTGCATCTTTCTCTTGCTTATTGGATGATAACTCCTGCATATTGCTGTTTATGAAATGAGATTGAAACTTATAAAATAGTCAATAACAAAACTAATTTTGAATACATAGCGAAAATGGCTAACCAAGAATCAATGGTCTGGGATATTAAGTCAATTGGCTCTTGTGACTTATATTGTTCTGAAATAATTTCAATTTGCTGTTCTGGTGCAGTCAGCTTTTCCATTATTTCAACTTGTTCTTCTAGTAACTGAATTTCTCTTTCAATACCTTCAATCTGTAACCGTCCCGTGGTCATCTCCCATTGCTGTTCTTTACTTTGGCACTGTTGTTCAATTTGTTCATCCTCTTGTGCCAGAATTTTTCTTCAGTCGCTTTATAGTTCTGTTCTGCATCAATCTTCTTTTCAAAAGTCACTGCGATTTCTTGCATCTGTATTCGACTTTGCTGTCCATCTGCATCATCTGGCTGTTCATTTTGTTTCTCTGGAGATCCATTTTGATAGTCAATGTTATTATGCTGTTCTTCTTCACTTTGCTGCCCACGTTCTCCATGTTGTTCAGTCAATTCATATTCTTCATCTTCATTCACTTTGTCATCATGCTCCACAATACATTGCTTTTCAACAATCACTGCAATTTCTTGCACATGGGTTTGAGTTTGTTGTCCATTCACTTCATCTTGCAGGTCATCCGAAGATCCATTTTGACTTTCGATCACCATATTATGCTGTTCTTGTGGATTTTGTTGCTTGTGTTCTCCCTGTTTATCAGTGACTTCAACTGGTTCTTCAGTTGCTTTATATTTCTCTTTTGCAGTGTTCTGTTGTTCAACAATCACTGGAACTTCTTCCATTTGATTTTCACTTTGTTGTCCATTCCCCTTAACACACTGTTCATAAGGAGATACACTTTGATCGTCAATCACCTCACCATGCTGTTCTAGTAGACCTGCGTCTTCACTTTGTTGCCCAAGTGATCTCTGTTCAGTCACTTCAACACATGTCAGCTCAACGCATTCTTCAGCCACTTTACATTTCTGGTTTGCATTATTCTGCCTTTCAAAAGTCATTGCAACTTCTTGCATTTGAGTTTGACTTCGTTGTCCATTCAGTTCATTCTGTTCAGTTTGTAGCTCTAGGCCATTTTGGTCATCAATCAGCTTAGTATATTCTCCTTGATCGGGTTCTCCAATTTGCATATCATGCTCCCCTTGTTTTTCTGTCAATTCAACTTGTTCCTCAGTTGCTTTCTGTTTTGAATTGGTATGCTTTTCAACAATCACGGCAACTTCTTGAATTTGGTTTTTACATTTTTGTCCATTCACTTCATCTTGCTGTTCCTCCGGAGATCCATTTTGATCGTCAATCACCTTACTATGCTGTTCTTCTAGACTCGTTTCTTGACTCTGTTGCTCATGTTCTCTCCGTTGTTTAGTCTCTTCAACCTGTTCTTCAGTCACTTTATATTTCAGTACTACCATGGCAGCTTCTTGCATTTCCGCTTGTCTATTTTTCCATTCAATTCGTCTTGTAGTTCATTTTGTTTCTCTGGGAAAACGTCTTCATCATCAATCGCTTTACTAAACTCTTCTTTCTGACATGGTTCCTGACTTTGCCATGCATGTTCTCTCTGTTGTCCAGTCAGTTCAACTTGTTCTACTGCCAGATTTTCAGGCTCAAAATCATTTCTTCTTATTATTCTCCTACCCAGCTCACCTCTCTTCGGTTTCTCCACAGGCTCCCTTTGAGAATAAGAATCAATTTTATGAGCCGGAAGCATATAACAGTTTTTTGAAGCACTAACAATTTCTCCGCTCTCGCTAAGTTTCTTCAAATGATGACTCAAGAGTCTTTCATGAGCCAATGGCAAACAGTCAAAATGCTCTCTGATAAATTTTGATACTGCTTCTTCAGTCGAACCCCCTTCCTCATTCAACTCAGCAACTGCCTTCTGTATCATCTACAAAAATATAAAATTCTGAAGTTAAAAAATTTGGAATAGTCAGCAAAAATCTACTCAAGAAGCATTAGTATGGAAAAAGAGTGGTACCACAGCATAGGTGGGGTGATCGGCTGTGAAAAACATGGGGTAGGCTTCAGAAAGGCTTATTTTAATACGACTCATTAGCTCAGGTGTGAGGGTTTGTGAGGTGTTTGAGTTCGCGAGCTTCTTCATCACAGCACTAGCAAGCTTGTTTATCATTTGTCCCTGTTAATCATGTAGAAAGTATATACAATAAGATATTAAGAATTGAACAGATATTTGTACGCCAAAACTATAATGTAGATTGCTATGAATGCTGAACTATAACATCCCTCAATCTGTTTCACACACGTTTCAACTAAATGCTGCGGCATGCTAATTGATTCCATGATGGAATTGTAATTAGTAAGGTACAAGAGAAAAATAGTCACGACCAACCATCTGTTGGTGTCCGCGTCTGGGTTTGTAATGTACACAATCATAAAACATAAGCAAGTACTGATCAGTGATCACGAAATATATGGTCATCTTCTTGTTCCAACGCTTCCTAGTTAGCCCTTTTATATTGATTAAACATTTCCTAATGAAGGATTACACAAATTAATGATCCTCCAAAATGGTAAAGCCAATTATTAGATTTATCATCTATTAGCTTGTCCAATAACTCCATTCACATCAACCAATGAATACATTAACAGTGAATTAGTGGAGCTGTTCGCAATATCTAAACGAATAAGGAATGCATAAAGATGATCGGAACACAATGGAACTCTGGGAAAACCGTAAAGTACGAACATCATGAGAGGATCAAATATGTCACTTTAAAAATGAAATGCTCCTCTTCCATAAGAAAAAGGCAAGATGCTATCTACATATGACAAAATCCAGTTCTGTGCCCGAGCATTGAGGAGAGCTGAGTATACTGAACTACATTCTGTTTTAGGTCCTAAAATTTTAAAGAGAGGGCAGGGATAGATCCCTCAAATCGTTCAATACCCGGAAGAAAAATTATAGTAATAGTAACAAGATAACAACAATAATAAACCACATTCTCTTCAAATGATTCTAAAATAAGAAAAGTAGGAAATACAAACTGAAGTTATAGAAACTACAATTGGTTTTCCTCGGACTCCATCCGCTTCCAGCTTTAAACAACTTCATGCAGAGAAGAAACCACATACAAATTCATACTAAGTACGTTATCGAACTAATGTCAGTTTCCATGTAAACAATTACTCTTTTTGATCTAATTTCAGGACTTGACGATACGGCATTGCATCCAGACTTGAATGTATAATGTTTCGAATAGCGGATAGCGTTCATCAGGTGGAAAGTAGATTACTAACTTCGGTGATATTACATCCAACATAAAATCTCATAGGCAATTGCATTTGATGCAAAGTAGCCAGTAATATCCAAATGCATATCATATAAAAAGCAAAAGGAGGAAGGGAAACTAACATGAAGTGGGTCTTCCTCTCTTCCTTCTTCCCCTTCCTGCATTCAGAATTAAAAGAGAATTCTTCTGAATTATAAATTATATTCCCTTCTCTTCTCGGAAATAAATAAATAGGATTAAAATCGAACAAAATTACTGTTTACCGTGGAAGATGAACATCGTACGGACTCAGGCAGAGCCATAATACTCTCTCTCTCTCTCTCTCTCTCTCAGAGATTAGACGAACAAGAAAGAAAGAATCCGGTTCTTCGATTGCGTCACTGAAGCTTGATGGAAGCATATATATATGTCTGTGTTTTTGTTTTTTTGGGGTTTTGCTGCACTTTTGGGGGCCCTGGGTTTTTTTTTTTTTTTTTTCCCCTGTCTACAGGGGCACTTGGTTTCGATTTGGCGGTTTGGCCAACGGACTGACACTTAGCTCGTGACTGACTAGTGATCAGAAAGGACAGTGTACTTCCAAACAGGAGCCCTTTTGTGGCTTGCAGGGAATAATTTCTTTCTACAACCATCTTCAATTCTTGGAGATAAAATTTAAAAATTTAAGTAAAAAAATAATAATTATGTTATAAATATGAAGTAAAAAATAATCAAGAAGTGACACGTGGATTTTTAGGTAAAATAAAAAAATTATCCTCGAGGCACATCGAAATTCTTACGCGCGAGCAGTTGACAATCATCTTTCAATCAAGTAAAAAATGTACAAGTAGGTATTTATTTTTAAACTTATTTTATCTATCCTCATCAAATCCTCTCCACAAGGTAACCCTCAAATCATTCATTATCAATTATATTAATTAGCTAATTAATTGATTTATTATTCAATTATTCCTAATTAGCTACAAATCATGAACCTCACCCAAAATGCCAACCAAGTGGCCGGTCTTCGTCCTCCTAAAGGGGCCGACCACACTCCTATAAATACTACCTTATTCTCTCCAAAACTCAATTCCAATTCTCTTGCTAAATTCTCCAAACACTTTTCCCTCAAAATTCTAACTTTAGCATCGGAGGTTCTTCGGCCAAAGTCCCCCCATCCCCATTCATCATTGGCGCTGAGGCTCTTGGCCTTGACCTAAGGTATTATTTATTTTATAGGTGCAATTTTGTCCAAGAGTAAGGAGGAAGAAATTTGCATCCACAAGTTAGTGCTTTCATTGAGAGTTGAGTCACAAGCTCATAGAAGACTCTTATATCTAAGATTTTTTGTTTTTTTGCTTATTTGTAAATTTTTCGTACGTTCTTATTCTTGGAATTCTTATTTCTAAAAATTCTTTAATAAAGCGTAAAAGAAAATTACAAATGGCGAGAGATTCGGAAACCTCAATGAACGAAAATTCCAACATTCAAAGATTATAACTGCTGTGATCTTTAAGGCTCAATATAGCGGTGAGTAGAGTGGCACCCCCATGAGGCACCACGGTGGCCACCCACGGCAAGGTACATGGTGCCACAACCATGGCCTAAGCCGTGCCACTTCAACCTTCAAGGGCCCAAGCCCTAACCGAGCCGGCCCGTGCCTCCCAAACCCAACATAAACCCAATGTGTTGCCAAGCCGAGCCTTAGCCTCGCACCCACGTATGTCACACACCGAGCAGCCCACTCCCGTGGCCCAGCCTGCTTCAGCCGAGCAACCCACTCTTATGGCCTAGCCTGCTCCCATGGCTCAGCCTACTCCCATGGCCTAGCCTGCTCCCGCCGAGCAGCCCACTTCTGTGGCCCAACCTTCTCCCGTGGCCTTCTAAGCAGCCCAAATCTGTCCAAGATTAGTTCAACTGTCCCGGTTCCAAATTTTCAGAATGACATTTTTCTGCGGATTTGATATTTCCCAACTCAAATCTTGGGCTCAAAGTCTACCATATTTCCACTGTTCAAGGAGATACATTCCTTCCAAGCTCTTCCAACCTAAATGGAGAATAACACTTTATCTTGACAAGTCATAGAGTTGATAAGTGCCCTCGCACAGCATACGACCTTGGTCAACCAACTTTTGCAGCGCACCGAGATGCATCGTGCCCCAGACGAGGTGTCCCAAAGTAAGACAAGGTAAACGAAGAACCTCTCCAGCAGTGTCCTGGCAAGCAACCACTCAACCAGCCATGAACCGAGCATTCGGGCAGTGTACACTCCTGAATAAGCCTTCGAGATAGTGTATACTCCAGTCTTAGCGCGCATAGGAGCATGCATTCTTGACTATGCCCACGAATGAGCATACATTCACGGTTAGGGTCATACTTTGATAGTCAACATGAGCAACCTTCCAGGCGAAGTGTTTATTCGCGGCCAAGTCCGCAAGAAGCATCTTTCACCTCACATCGGAGTAGGCAGCACGGCGGACAGATAAAAGCAGTCACTTAATCTAGCTTAAGTTCAATCGGCAGCCTACGAGAAATTCGCACATTTGCGAGGAACGTACCACATACACTGCAGCCGCAGCATAGACGAGCCGAATACATGGAAGAACAACCTAGACTAGCAGGTCACGACTAGGGGCAGCCAAGAGCTCCGCTACCCCCAACAAATGCAAATTCAGGAAGAAGTAGAGAGACTCTTGACCAAGCGATTGCGTGATTTCCAACGCAACGAGTTTACCGACAAGACACTTCGACGGAACATGACTAACATAAGCAGGTCAACCATCACGGATGAGATCAAGTAGGCAGAGCAGCCTTCCAAAAAAGACTTCCAACAGAACACCCACTATTCGAAAAATTGATCATGAAAAAAAATCTAACTCGCAGACTCTTTCGCTCTAACAGACAAGCATGCACTTTGGGACAAGGCTCACCAATCAAGATGCAAGGACTTGAAAAAGAACCTGACATCACCTTCCTATTATCCAAACTGGAAGCAGTAGATAACCTATTCGCATGTTTAACGGTATCTGAAGCAGCAAACCATCATACGAGAAGAGCTGGGGTCCCAACTACCTATATCCCACAGTTCAAAAGCTCTCATCGATGCTACCAAAAATTCAAAAGCTAACTTTGACGATAATTGTTGCAACCGTGAAGCTTAAATTTTACCTTCAGATGCACGCAATCATCCTTATAATGCACTATTCTGCTTAATCTAGACGCGCGACGATAAAGGTGTAGACACTAGTGGATGCAAAATTTTTTGACGAACGCAACAACTCGGACCAAAGGTGCACCAAGGGCAGATAAACACTAGAAGGACATACTCAAAAGCAAGTTTTATTCTCGTCATCCCAAAATATTCTACATATGAGCAACATGTACCAACAGTCGAACACCACCCTCCTGATATGTGTCACACGGCCCAAGCCGACCCTTACTTCATAATTTAACTCTAGAGTGACCTCATACCGGTAGTTGAGCATCTCCTAATGTGTGTAGCATGGCCCCAGCTCCACGGCTCCCTACCACGCTTTCATAACGCAATGCCCCAGAGGTAGCAGGCCTTCGAATGCCCAATCAAGCGATCACTCTAGGATTCAAAGCATCCAACAACAAAGGAAAGTACGAGACCCTACTAGCAGGCCTTCGAATGGCAAAAGACTTAGCGGCGAAAAAGCTCGTAATTCATTCTGATTCCTAGCCAATCACTACCCATACTACTTGAGGCATTTCAGACTTACACCCTCACTCAAGTTCCGCGGGCAGACAATGCTCACAAGACGCACTAGCTGACATAGGCTCCGCTCTCGACCACCAACTTAAACGTTCTACTCTAGTGGAGTATCTAGATAAGCCAAGCATAGAGGTGGAGTTAGCAGCCGAAGTGTCACAGGTTAGTACA